TTTAATATAAGTATTATTCACTATAACATGACAATGAAGCGACGACTGTAATCGACGAGACAAAATCGGACAAATCTTTAAGTTATTGGCATAATGGTCGATAAGAAACAATAAGAAATGAACTAGTGTGAAATCATAAAAAAATGACTAAAAATGTGGAAAAAATACCTAAAAATGTCAAAAAATAACTTAAAAAGTAACAAAGACCAAAAAATGCAAAAAAATGCAAAATAGTTATTTGGATTCATATGCTAAAGAAACACATTTATGGCCAGAATAGCATCTTCTAAAAATTTCGAAAAAAAAAATGCAAAATACATCAACTTCCGAGCCCTAGTTATTATATATAGTTATTTATATATAAATGTATTTATTTTTTTCCAATATTCAATTAATAGACTAAATTACATAAAAAATGGAGTACTTAAATTTATTGATTTAAACTAAGATTTGTTATTTAATAGATGGCTTGATTTATAAAAGCATTGTAAATAATTCAATTAACTTGTCGTATAAATTTCAAAGAAAAGAAAAGAATTTGTCATGCTTTATTTTTTATCTATAATTTTTAATTTTTATTATTTATTGAATAATTTTATCTTCTTAAAATAAAAATGTTCCATTGTTAAAATAAATAACGAAGTATAACATAAAGCTAACACTTTTAAACTTCATAATAATTTAAAAATACTCATAAATATGTATTTTGTTTTTTACATGAATTTTTGTTTTTTAAAATTTTTTTTAATTATTACGAATGAGGTAATATATATTCTAAAAAATTATTCCTCCCAAAAAACGTTTTAAAACTCAGGATTCCGTACATAATTCTCTATTTATGTCTAATGCCTGTGTATCGTTGTTATTACGAATAAATTATGAATAATCATTATTTATGTATATAATAATTGCAAATAATCAGTAAATGTACTAATTTTTTTTCTATGAATAAATGTAAAGATGTTATTTCAAAAATTAGTATCTAATAAAATAATTTACATTTATGTATAGTGTTATAATATTTTGATAGTTAACTTTTACAGGCTCAATAACATGAGTTCTGGGAATTATGCTTTGATTCAATATAAAAGATCTTGGAAGATGACTAAAATATTTTATTTAAACGAAAATAATCATATTCACCTTTAAATTATAGTAATATCTATTTTTTGTTATTAATATATAAAAAAACATGAATTTATCAATAATTGTTAAATTGTTATATAGTTATTATATAGTAGTAATTATTATTAGACGGTGATTATTGACTGCGGGTTTTACTGAATAACAATATTTTAATTTTTTTTTTTGGCAACCCCGGTGTTTTTATGAAAGCGTAAATTAGCCCAAGATTGGGCATTTATATAATAACGTTTTATTTTTTAATTAATTATTTATTTAATTAGGATAAAAATGATATTTTTTATCTTAATCTGTATCTTATATAGATAATTGTCTTGTTATCTGGACTCAATACTGGTTACTAATACACGGTGAAATTAATTTTGAAATTTCGTTTTCATGCAAAAAATGTAAATCGTAAATAAATTTATTATAAAATATATTCATAAAAAAATGTAATCAATTTATAAATTTTGTTTGGAATATTTTTTTGATGTCTCATTATCATAAATAATAGTTTTGCCACATATCTTAATGCCTTACCCAGATTAATATGAAGTTACGTTTATTAAAAATTATATACTTATAAACATTACTGAAGTCGTAACTTAGCTGTAACTGCATTTTGTAAAGAAAAAATATTTTTGTGTCTTTTTTTTCTTTTCTACAAGGTAAACAAAAATAAATCAAAAACATTCACAAGTCCTCCAAATTGATTTCCACCTCTCGTTATGTAGAAGATGACACATTTGAAAATATATTTTCCAGCAACAATCAAAATCGTAATGCTGACATGACCCATATATATGTATATTTAAGCTTCTGTCAGTTTATATAAATATCTAAGTAACATTTTATATTTATCTTCGGTCTCAATGTACATATTGAGTTGTTACGATTGTAAATGTAGAGTTTACCATAATTTTTTCTTCGTACTTGTTTTCAAGAGCAATACAGTCTACCATGTCCAGCTTTCTACGTCCTGTCTAATTCCGTTCGTTTGTTACTCACAGTTATGTGAAATTTTCACTTCATAGCCATTATTCGAAAACGTACTAAAAAACGTAACTACCAGTATTTTGGAGTTGAGAAACCATCAAGCATCCAGGCACTTTCAATAATAAAAGTAATTTCCATCAATATTATTGGTACTTTTAAATTTAATATTTCACTGAATACACGAAAATTGTAATTAAAAAATCAAAAAGTCGTAAAAATCAAAATTGAAAATTAATAAAATATTTATTCCTGGTGGTTTGCATTTACCATATTTGTACAGCTATCTTAATATTATTGTAGCAATTTTTGAAAGATGAACTTCCACACACTAAAGTAATACATATGTTTATTTTTACAATGATGATTGAGCGGTATGAGATCAGTCATTGACTCCTAACAATGAATAGTCTATTAAGTCATATTTTAGCTGAAATTATAAAAAAGTGTGCATCATAAATGATAAATGATTCAATTATGTAATTTCATATTGATAAATGGCTATAAGAAAAAAAAAATTGTTATTATTAAAATATAACAAAAACCGTTGTGCCGATAAATAATCGGAAAACAGTAGTTTATAATTGAATAACAAGAAAATTCAATAACATTTAACTTCGAATTATAACCATTTAGAAGATTGTATTTTTAATGACGTATGACATCAAAGTCCATTATTTTTCCATTTACATATTTCAGTTTTTTATTTCTCGTCAAAATTCTAAGTATACCTACGTCACGTGGGAAATCGACTGTTATTTCATTTCTACCTGCTCGTTCCGTCTTGTAAAACGATGCTTATCCACAAACGCTATGCAAATAAAGTTTTTCACGCTTATGATGAATTGTAACATGCGTTTACGTAATATTCGTCCGAATAAACGATAACACTAAGTACCTACGTCACACACAGTTTCTGCATATATCACAAACACATGTTTTTTTCTCATTTAAAAACAATTCATAGGATAATTAATTTATTTGAGAAATAAATAACGCGTACAAAAATTTGATCAAACGGAATTTCTGTGGTGTACTTTTTCATCGGTTAGTTTTATTTAACGAGCAATTATATGGGTCAATAGCGGTGACGAAATTAATTTTAATAACTGAAATTGATTTTTATAAAAATTTGATTATATAATTTTGTGTTTTTTGTTTTGTGAAAAGGGTTTTATCAACTACTATAATATGTATTATATATATATATATATATATATATATATATATATATATATGTTACCGGAAAAGATGACAATCAGTCTATGTTGACAATGACTAGTCAATAACGATAATGCCTGATTTAGTAAGGAATTAATGTCAATACCTAGTCATTGATAACAATTCCTAATAAAAGAAGGCATTGATAATAACATTAAAAATTAATTTAATATATTTTAATACTTATTAGCTATTTAGGATATATCATAATCTTAATCTTTATTGTTATGTGGTAAATTACTATAACACTTGGAATTATATAATCTAGTACAGCAGTACCCAAACTGTGCTCCGCGAAGCCTTTGGTGCTTCGCAATGATTTGCCTAGGGCTCCGTTCGTAACACCACAAAAAATTTAAAAAAAATTTCGTCATTTAAAATTAATATATATTTCATGAAGATTTGAATGTTCCAAAATCATATCGATCACCAATAAAGCGATGTTGATATTTGTTTGAATGCGGATTTATAACATTGCCTAATATAATACGGAAACGTTGATAAAACAATGAAATATCCAACATTGCCTAACCTTTCCAGTCATTGTCAACAATGACTAGGATATACTGACAATTCCTGAATTTTCATCTTTTCCGGTAACATATATATAATTAAATATTATAAAAATGTTATTTAAAGATTGTAACTATATAAATACAACTATAAACATTATTTTGCATAAACTATTTCATGTTCCTATAACTTGAATACGAATATAATTGAAATTAAGAATGAAGAATAAAAACATAAAACAATTGTTATTCTATGCATAATTGCAGATGAACAATTTACGTACTATCATTTGACTGTCCCCGGGGACGGGCCTTTTCCCCCTGGGCTCCTTAATACAAGCTTGATTTTATATCACTTAGAATAATTTAGAATCTTAGAATAAAAATATTTCAGTATATAGAGAATATATATTTTTGTGAATTTATCCCTCATTTCATCTAATATATAGATAGAAGGATAGTGTAATAAATTTTCAAACAGTACTAATACTTTTCAATTTTTAAGATAATTGTTTGCTTATATATATTATAAAAAACATTTGAATCTCGTTGTAGACTTCGCAATTGAATAAAATACAATAATGTGAACAAGTTCTCGTAATCCTCTTATCACGTATTGTAATTTTATTTGAGACATACCAAGATTTTAACTGCCAATTTAATTCAACACGAAAAATAGTAAGTTCAATACTTGTTCGACACATAAATAACTTATTGATTAACATGACATGCAATATGTGTCTGAAGTGTATTTTTGACTTACCGATTCTGCCGTAACATGAATATTTATTGATAATATTGTTTACAACTTATAAACATTTAGCTTAAAAATATACAAAATGTATAAATGTATAAAATATTTCAGAGACTATGTAATCTAGTAAATGTCTGTAATATACAAAATATATAACATCATAATATCGTACTTTCACAAACTCCACGTACATAAGTACCACGATGTAAAAAATCACCCGAAGTATAAATCAATGAGATAACTGTAATAAGTGAAATATATTTTATAAACATTTTACAAACAAACCTCTTTGTATTTTTATCAGTCAAAATTGGCTATTACTTTTGACAGACTTATTATTGGTTATTACACTTAGAATACAGTAGGTACGAAATATTAGATCAAATCGAACTCCATTTGAAATTTTTGAAACATTAATCTCTTGTGTATTTAAATATAACATCCTAATTTCATGACTACAATATTAGGTTGATACGTTTTATAATAGGTAATAATAATAAAATCTTATAAACAAGTCACATTAATAATTATATACAAGAGAATCACATAAAAGTGCAAGAATCGTCAGCATAAAAAAAATATAGATAAGTAATAATAATATTTATATTAAAAATGTGGTAGCAAATAAATAATATTTAGAAATAATGAATTCAAAAACATGAGTACCAACTTTGAACTAACTAACGATTTTTATTTGTTAGACACTATAAATGCATGTAGGTACAATGAAACGTTTCAATCAGTCTTCGATCCTTAATGAAATTAGTTTATAAGTCGAAAAACATTATGTATAGTATCCAACAATGTAAGTGTAGAAGAAGGATAAAACATATAGTGTGCATATAATTTTAAAAAAGAGTAATTGTTTAGAAATTAACTTTACACTTAAGCGAACGTATTCAAAAAGGAAATGTATTATTTACACTATTATTATCATATAGTTTTTAGTATACTTCGGTTTAACAAACTTAAAAAATTGCATTCTTGATACAATGAAAGGAAGTTCTATTAATTTTTCCGGAGCGCACCAAGTTGAGCAGCTAACGACGTCTCATCTGAAACGAATGACCTTTTCTTATTCACTTTGGCTTCTTGACGTATCTAAAAGCAAATAAAAAATTAAAAAATTAATTAACGTCAGCATAAATAGTTATCTTTCAGTTGTAGTTTAAAAATGTAAAAACAATAAAATCTTATTACTTGTTACTTGTTTGATATAATACTTAGTAATATAATTTATGTGATGAAGGGTGTACATTATAAGTTTTATATTTTTGCTTGTAAAATAAAAACAGTTTTAAAATCAGATATTATGCTTCAAGCCGAATATTATTTTTATTTTTAATGTATAACTCTATACTACCAAGTAGCAGTTTTTAAATAATGTAATTTTATAAGAACGTTTCCATGTAAAGTAGACTTTTTGCTTACTTTTTACAAAGTTATTATTATTATTTTTTGTTCTATCAAATTATTCTACTTATATTTCTCATAAATAGAATTTTGTTAATTTTAAGGTTGAGTTTTTAAAAACATTATTCTAACATAAAGTATAAGTAAACACCCTTTTTTCAAATAGTACTTCAATAATAACTATTTTTTTTCTGTAATTATTGTCATTAAAATTCATGATCTTTGATTTTTTGTAGTGCACGTCCATTTAAATAACATCAGATAATTATAATTAAAACATTTTAAAAGTACCTTAGTTTTTATAAAAAATATTTTATTTCAATATAATTAAGTCTATACAGTGGCGTATACAAGGGGGGGTGTTTGGTAGATATGACACAACCCTCGAGCCATATCATATATTACATTATTATAGGAATATAGGTAAATCGATAATACAATATGAAATATAAAATAATGCACAATACTAATTACATATATACAGGTTAACATTATCGCGATTGCGATAATACGTGATGAAAATTATTCGTTTACGTTTTTGTGCAACACAAAATGTTTAATAATAATAGGTATTGTAGCATCGAATACTGATATTCGAATAGTCAAATATTCGAATAATTTATGGCAAAGCTATCCGAATTTGAATGTACATTACATCTCTATTACAGACATTATGTATACATATTAATTAATTAAAATAAAAGTTTTAGTTCGTACGTATTATATATAATATTCAATAACTATAATTAACACCCCCCCTTCAGAAAATCCTAGCTACGCCACTGGGTCTATACTAAAACAAATTAAGACAGGAGGACACATATTATATTAATATTGACATAGTATGTTATAAATATGTAACTCAGATACGTTTTCACAAAAAAAAAAAATTTATTAGCTGGCATAACTTAAGTATTATATTATTATAAATGTATCATAGATTAAATATTTTATCTATTATATTATAATTATGGGGTAAATTATACTACATGTGATTTTAACACTGCCGGTGGTGCGACTTGGTATGGCGTTATCCGTTTATATATATATATATATAAATGTATCATTGTCATATAGCTACAAATTAAACCTCAACGCAGCTGGTAGCTTATTTGAAAGCTAATGTAAACATGATTGCTGTTGATGCTACTTGTAATTAGAAACTTTGTGCAGCCCCTGTTGTATAACAGACAGGATGAAATAGATCGTTGGAAGAGCGTAGTCGAGTTGAAACATTTACTTATTAAATAAATAAATCAATAACTAACGAATCGTTCCCGGACGTTTTTCGATATTCCAAAAAGAGAAAGAAATAAAGAAAAAAAGAGAGAGAGTAAAATAAATGAAACGCAAATAATCGACCTATGTTGTGGTTAAGTCATGTAGAAGTCTGCTCGGAAGGATGAGAAAACGTAATTGGACTCCTAACGATGAAAAGAGGAAAAATCCACGAAGGATCAAGTGTACAGAGAGTATAGAGAGGGAAAGAGATAGAAGAATCAAGAGTTCCGACGGTGGTTCCGAGTGAAATGGTTTCGGATCAGAGAGGGATATTATAGCGTGTTATACCGATCGACAAAAGTGGTAACGGCTACGTTGGTGGTAGTTATTCTCCCTCTTTTAAGAGTCTCATAAATATTCGGCGTGTTACTCTCTCTACGGTTAACTAGGGTCTGGATATACAAGTGACGTCAGCCGTGGCATTTGGCTAGCGGTAGGCGAATGGTAGGGCGCTACCTCGGAAGAGGGACTCCGGAAAGAGGAGCAAAATGGGGGTGGGTTCATTCAATAGTGCGCAATGTATAAGTTTCTATTTTCAGCATTGACGTCATACACGCAGTTGCCGGCAAATTTACCGACCTCCATTCAAGAATCCAAGCTACGAGCGCTACGGTCCTGTATCGATTATTTCGCCATTGACGTCACGACTAAGGGAAATATAAACGCCAGACACGTAAACCACGATATAAATTACGATTTTGTTCCCTGGTGACTTAAAAAGTGTTCTTTTTTTTTTGTTTTTAGTTTACTTCAACTCATGACTGTACTACTTAGATATAAATTAGAATTAAAAAAGGGAGAAAACAAATAATCTTATACGCGCAGACTTCTAATAAAAAACACTGCGTTTAGTTTATCTCCAAAATACTACTTGATTATCAACAGTTTTTGTAATATACCGATTAAAATATATCCGTCTTTGAATATATCATTGTTGATATATTTAGTTCATGTAATATAAACCATGCATAATGAACTTAGATACAATTATTACAAATAAATTTTAACTGTAAACGAGAATAATATTAAATTACAGTATAATTATTACATAATATAATATATAGGTTTTTTAAACCAATTAATACTAAATGTCAAAACGAATATCATAAAAAAATTAAAAGATTATTTAAGGAAGGGTAGTAAATTATAATTATTATTATATATATAATATATATGTATATTATTTCTATATATGTATTTCAATTGTGGTAGTTTTTTAGTGTAAATTTCTTTGATTACCTACATTTATAAATGTACCATACCATTATTTTTAAAATGTATTTATATAAATACTTACATAAATTGTATGGGTGTTTTCATGAACTCCAATATTAATTAAAAAGTTATTACATTTAAATAATGAAGAATCGAATTACTATTTCTAATAGTATGAATAAACTTAACACTTATTAACAATTTAATTGTTATATAAATTACCTCGATCTTCATAAAATAAATATTTATGTAATAAATAATAAATAGGAAATTATTTGCGATGAACTCACATTATAAAAAAATATAACAATTACCAGTTAAATTTGATAGTATTAAGTATTTTGATTAAAATTAACTATAACTAAGATTCTGATTACGAAAAGTATTGCCAACAATTAAAGTAATAAATTAATTTTGAAAATCTCAAAATCCAAAAACTATTGTGTTTTGAAAATGTATAGATACTACAACATTTTGAAATGTATCAATAAAATATAGAAATATAATTAAAATTAACATTTTGGAAATTCTTGTTGTTATAACTTGTAATTTAATTATTGTAAACAAAAAGTTGAGTGTGTGATTAAACATTAGAAATTCTGAAGTATACGTGTCATATTTTAATAATTTTATATTTACAAGGATTAACATTTTTTTTCTATAAAAATTGACTATGACAATAATTATCTAAATTTATTACTAGTATAAAAAAGAGCTGCAATTATTAGTCAATTCTTAATATATTAATTATATTTAAATTACATGTATAAAATTGAATACATAAATTATTAAGCTCTATAAAAATGTATGGACATTAATTATATTATTTCAATTTTTGCCTTTATTGTTAGAGTAAATATTGAAAATGACTGACTCACTGAATAATAATATAGAATAATATTATTCTATGTAATATCAACACAATTGCATGACTCATATGATATGATGGTTGACTTAAAAATGTAAGTTTGTATACCTACATATTAATGTGTAGGTATATACAGTGGCGTATTAAAAAAAAATTTCAGGGGGGTTTTATACGTAAGAAAAAAATTAATTAGCACAAATAAAAAGGTCTCTAGAGCTGAAAAAATCCGAATTAATAAAATATAATAACACTAAATATTTTTGTTGAGAGGGGGTGTCCTCAAGCTCTCCCACCTCTTACTACTCCCGTTCCCCCACAGAAATTGGACGGATTATAAATTAAAATAAAATTGAATTTTACAATATTACCTACAAACATATATATATATATAAAGGGTGTTTCATAAAGAACGCAGTTTTTAAAATGCTGGGTTATTTTTTGTTGTTAGGTTGGTGGCACTTTTCTTATAATCTATGTAATTTATGATTCTTGAGGTTTTTAGTGATATTATTTTTGTTTATTTGTCGTTATGAAGCTGTGTACAATTGAGCAACGTGTTTTGTTTATTATAACCCATTATAAACACAGTAAGTGTGTTGGGGTAACTGTTAGAAAACTTCGTACGATCCTCAGACACCGTGAAGCACCGACTGCAACAACAATAACGAGGCTAGTCAAAAAAATTGAAGAGACAGGATCAACTGTCAACATTAAAAGCCCTGGGTGCAAGCGATCCCAAAGGTCGAATGAAAATATCGTTATTGTGAGCGACTCTGTCATTGTGAGTCCGAGAAAATCGATCTGTCGCCGTTCTCAAGAGTTAGGCACTAGGGTAAGCTCTTTGCAACGAATTCTTAAGAATGATTTACACTTGCATGCATATAAGATGCAGTTGACCCAAGAACTTAAACGGGCTGACCATATTAAACGAAGAAAATTCGTTAATTGGGTTTTATCGAAACAATGTTCTGTTGATTTTGTGAAAAAAATCATCTTTAGTGATGAGGCACATTTCCACCTAAGTGGGTATGTGAATAAACAAAATTGTCAAATTTGGGGAAATGAGAACCCAAGGGCAAGCATGGAAAAACAAATGCATCCACAGCGAGTAACCGTTTGATGAGGCTTATGGGCAGGTGGAGTGATCGGTCCATACTTTTTTGAAGATGAACATGGAAATGCAGAAACAGTGAATGGAGATCGATATCGAAACATGATTTACGATTTTTTCTGGCCTATTCTGGATGACATGGACCCTGAAGAAATGTAGTTCCAGCAAGACGGTGCCACCTGTCACACTTCTGGAACCACAATTGCATTGCTT